AATTAGATAAACTAACGACACAATATCGTAGAAGTGAACTGGACGGAATCGGAGAGCAGGCCGCGAAACTACGAGAAAACGCTACAGATATTAACGAAGCAATGTCTGAAATCGAGAATTTTATGGCCATGTTGAAAAATTTGGCTGTGGAGGTAAATAAAACAGTTTATATTAAAATCAGAATCTACGGAAACAAAAGTGATACTTGACCCCAGAGATCTGGAAGCTCTTACTTTGCAGGAGGACATTTATAAACGAACAGATTAAATACAACCATTTTGTGAAAACTTTTGGGTTACTTTAGGCATTTTTTCCATGTCTTGTATTTAACAAGCTCTTGCGTATGACAAGGTGACCACTCTGTTGTTGGGATTGTGGTGCCAATTCACATTCCTGATAATGGTGTGGTATATTTTTATAATTAAGATACATGGATAACACTTAAGAAATTTTCTGATTTACAAATGTATTATTCCTGCTGTCTAAGATTATTAATATTTTGAATTTTGTTTTCAGCCCCAGAACAGTATGCCTGATGTATCAATATGGATGATTAGTGGTGATAAAAGAATAGCGTATTTCCGTATTCCAGCTAACGAAGTTATATTCTCTAATAATCCTAATACAATTGGTCGACAGTGTGGTAAACTACAGACTGTACAACTTAAGGTAAGACTATTTTTGAACTGGTGGCATCTTACATGAAATCATCGTCCATGAAGTTGGAACTTTAAATTTAGTTCAGTGTGTATATTTAATACAAGAAATAAAGAATGATGATAATCTTCTATTATTGTTGAGGTATTCTATTAGTTGTATTGACAGTTGTTTCTCTATGCATTATGAAATAGAGGCTGATTAGTGACCACAGAATTATCAAGGGAAGTTCACAGGCAATTTTTTCCCATGTCCTAACCTGACCCTGCTCTACAAACAACACTGTGTATTCACTCATTCATCATTTTCTATAAACCAAATTATTATTTCAGTTCCCTGGTTTGAAACTAGAAAAAGACAAGAAATGGGAGGTACCGACATTGTTACAAGTTCGTCTGTGGTTAGGTCTACAGAATCAGGAAGCAGAATGGCACAAGATGCAGAAAGAAGGGGAATTGGCTGTTTTTGCTGAAACTGTGAGTTGCTATTTTTCAAGAATTAATATGATTCTAGTGTTTCAGTCATCTGATTATTAAAATCTATTTTAAAGTCAGCTGTTGAAACGGTTGTCTGACTGCATTTCTCTAGTACAACCTGGGGTGTTTTCAGCCCCTGGGGGTGTGGGACTAGGGTTTCACGGGTGTGGCCAACTGATGTAGGAGAAGAATTTGTTTTGAATTTTGGCACCTCACATGCTGAAAATGTGAATGAAACAAATTTTTAAGATGATGTCAAGGTGATTGCTCCAGGGGTGTGATGGCTGAGAAAGGATGGACATCACTGGTCTAGTGTAAAAAATGTAACGTGAATATAGCTTGTTCTATTATCGTTTATCTATGTATATTTAATTTCCGTCTGTTTCAGTATGAGAATATGGTCAGTATATTGGGATCGTGGACGACTAAAGGACCAACCATGTCACGTCCTAAATTCTCTGACAGTCAAGGAAAGGTAAGTAACTTCCTAAACACATCAGCTAAATGTTTGAATATTCAAATCCATGTAGAATTATTTTATCTCGTTTTGAATAAAATACCTCACTTCATCTTAATCATTTTTACTTTCTTACTCAATTTCTAACGTCCAATATTTGTCCAATTGGGAATAAAAACGAAGGATGAAGAATCCCATTTCATTTCACCAGGGCAATCAGTAGCAGTAGACTAGGATATAAAACTCTATTTATTCCAGGTTTCTCTACCAAAGGATAATTTTGTACCACCACCAGGGTGGAGATGGGACAGTGAATGGTATGTCAGTCCTGAATTGAGGTAAGAGAAACTGCTATCTTTTCTGTTTTATTTGCGAAAATATGTCATTTTTTTTATTTCCTCATTAGAGAAAATCTGGTCTGGTTTTTGTGACTGCACTTTGAGATAAGTTTGAATGGTCTCATGTCACTTTCTATAATACCTTCCCACTGTTTCAATGTTTGACAAACTCTTATAGGTAAAAAAACTGGGAACTACACTACAATTTACTGTATTTATAATTTCAGTATGTTATTTGAAAAAGACGCTGGTCATAAGAAATTTATTGAAGATATTTACGAATGTCAATCACGAGGTATCCCAGGAGGCAACTGGGCACAAGCTTCACGACCCTGGTCAGATGTTGTAAGTCATGGCAAATTTTTTTGGATTTTCTTTTTTTTTTTCATATCTAGTTTTATTAAAGATTGTAAAGAAGTGTTCTATCATGGCCATTTAAGGCATCTCTTTGCATCATGTAAATCATTGCAAATTTTCATTTTTTTGTTGTCTTGATCAATTTTCATTTCCATAATTCATTAAACTACAAGTAATTATTCAAAAAATGCTTTAGATTTTGAGAATGGAATTTTACTTAATGCTAAGAGGTAGAATCCCTTTATTATCTTAACATAAACAAGATTAGAAGAAAGGTGTTAAGAAGTAAGCTCTGGTCAGTTAAATATTGTTTGTAT